CATTAGGTTATTTCTCCTAGTTACAAAGTGAAGAATCTGTCTCAGATCTCACTAGATGTAGGAGGAGCATCTGAACGTGGCTCTGGTATGTGCCCTGGTCATGGCAGTAACACCAGCCCTGGCTGCAGCTCTGGCTCAGGCTCTCTCTGCCTCATCTTTCAAGGCCGTTCTATATTTCATCCAGCCATGGAATTCAGGATCTCCAAGGGTCGACAGCAGGGCCTGAACTCCTCGGGACCCCAGTGTTCTGGGTGAGTGCTTTCTTAACTCCTTTTAAGGGATCTGGCATTTGTATCTAACAGATCTTGGGCCTTATCTCTCTCCTGACCTGAGCTTGCCCTCCTTAGGCCAAAGCTCTCAAGTTCCTGACAACTGTGAAAACTAAATGAGAGGATGTTCAGCCTGACAGTTCTGCCTGGGACCCTCTAGGACTGAAGGCAGGCAGAGGCTAGTCTTTTTGTAATAATGAATATTCTGCAGTGTTTGTTTTGCCAGTCCTGATTTATGTATGTCCTCATACAGGCTCTTGCCAGTGGGATTAAAGGCTTCCTGGGAAATGCCACATCTCTGCAAACTGTTGAGTAGTGCCTTCTCTGCAATCCTTTCAAAGAACAGGCCCCTGCCCTAGGACTGATGTAATATGGGAAATCTACAACACAAGGCAAGGGGCCCAGGATAGGTGGTAGGCTGTAAGAGAAAAAAACAAATGTTGATCTCCTATTCTTGCCCAGGCAGATTTAGGATTTCATGTAACTTCTCTCCCGATATATTTACGTTTTATAAGGAAGCGGCTGAGTAAGATGATTTTTTTTGTACCCCTCATCTTTTGAATTTATTGGACATCACATATGTATGTAATTCTGGCATCAAAATATTATCTTTCTTTCCTTACTCAAACCTCCCATTTATTTTGAGATTTTTATTGTTCTGGCTGTATATTACAGTCCAATAATTTGGCCACAGTCTTTCTTTTTATGGCTTATGATACATTTTGCAGTGATGAGAGGAAAAGTCAATTAAGAGACAAGGTCATCCTTAGTCTAAGAGGAGTGGCCCAGTGTGGGCTTTTGACTGACTCAGACCAGGGTCCTAGTCCCAGTCCTGTCATTACTAGCAACGTGAATTTAGGTGCATTACTAAATCCTATCAGCCTCAGGTTCTGCATCTATGACATGGGTTTGGTAAGCCCTGTCTGGTAGAACTGGCAGGATGTGGGTAATGAATGGAAAGCACTTGGCACATTGATTGGCATGTATTGGATCTCTTCTGTTGACTGGTAGCTGAACTTTCAGACCAAAGATTTCCCCTCCCCTAGACCTTATATAAAAAAGTGATGGGCTGCCTCCCCTCACAGCCCTGCTCTGAGTCTTCTAAGGCTGATATCAAAGGGTAGGGCATGACGCTTTGTTGTCCCATCTATTCAAGGCTATGTTGTCCCCTCAGTCTCCACTCAGATTCCCTGATTTCACTCCTGGCAGCACCTGGGGATCCCTTTCTTCTTGACCTGGCGACATCTCTTCATAGTGACGCCCACACTTTCCTGAGATACAAGATACAGCAAGGGCTTCATCTGGCTACATACCTGCCAATGCTCTTACAAGAATGAAACCTGTGGCAGGCAGTTCAAGGCCCTATGATGGGTAGCTCCACACAGGGTCCCAACTCAGAGTCCTACATTTTGAACTTCTGGACAGGCCTAAGATTTCTCTTTCTGTTGATGTGAGACTACCACCTAAGATCAAGACCCTCACTTCCCTTGTTATCCCTGAGTAGGACCTGATGGGTATCTCCACCTGACATTTCTGCTTGGGGTCTCTAAGGGCTGACAATAGGGAGGATTCTGTGTGGCTCCTACTGATGTGGGGTCTGTGGTCCCATACTCTTCAGTGTCCTTATCCTTATTCCTGTCACACCCTGGGCAAATCCTCAAGTCTTGACTTGAGGCCTATCTTCCCATATGAAGGAAATTGAAGACCAATTCCCTTTTACACCCTAAAAAGACGTAAAATTTGTTTCATAGTGCCATAACTGCTCATGTTCTCCCTGGGCTAAGAGTAGTGGAAGAAATCTGTGTTGCCCCCACCGTTATGGGGTAGGTGTTCACCTCAGTCTTCAGGGTCCTCACACTGACTTCTGCAACAACCTAGAAATCTCTCTGCTGACCTGAGGCTGCCCCCTTTGTTAATATTTTTCACCTCTGTGAGATTACCTGGGAAGAAGTGAATATGATACATCATGTCACGTCCAGGTCTCAGGTCTGACAATAGGGACAAGGTTCTATGTGACCTTCTTCCTTATGGGAGGAGTCCCCTCATTGTCACTCAGCGTCATCATGTTGACTCCTGTTAAGGAGCCAATCTCCTCCTTCTACTGAATGGGGCCTCCCCTATTAGTCCAAGGACTTCATGTCCCTGAAACCACTCTCCCTCCTCAGCAAATGTGGGGTATCCTCAGCCTGAAAGAGCTATGCTTATGGCCTTCCCAGGGTATAACTTTCTTTCTTTCTTTCTTTGAGATGGAGTCTTGCTCTGTTGCCCAGGCTGGAGTGCAGTGGTGCGATCTCAGCTCACTTCAAGCTTTGCCTGACAGGATCAAGCAATTCTTCCTGCCTTAGCCTCCCAAGTAGCTGGGATTACAGGAGCCCGCCACCGTGCCCAGATAATTTTTGTATTTTTCAAGTAGAAATAGGGTTTTCCCATGTTGGCCAGGCTGGTCTTGAACTCCTGACCTCAAGTGATCCATGCACCTTGGCCTCCCAAAGTGCTGGGATTACAGGCGTGAGCCACTATGCCTGGCCAGGCATAACTTTCTAAGGATATTTTTGTTCTCTGTTCAACTCTCTGGCAGTTGCCTCTTTCCTCATTTGAGATTTTTACCTTAACACCTATCATGGCCTGAGATTCTACTCTCTGCTTAACTGGGAGGCCAGCATGTAAATCAAGTATCTCATCTCCTCAAGATCCTCCAGGAAGAAGTCAAGGACACTTGGGCCTGCCAGCTCTTCCCTGGGCCTCCTAGAGCTAATAGCAAAGGAATGACTAGAGGCAGCCCTGCCAGTTATGGTTTGAGTGGTCCCCATATCCACAAGCCAGGCCTTCACCTAGACTCTGCATCCTTCCTGGGACTCCATTCCCTGCTGACCTGAGGCCATGGCATTCAGACCAAAGTCCTCACCTTACTGAGACCTGAATTGGAAGTCAGTGTCCGCCAGGACAGTTCTGGACTTCACAAGGCTAACAATTGGACACTTACTTTACAGACCCCCTTGGTCCTTCCATCATCCTCATTTAGATTTATTACATTAATTCCTATAAGAGGCTGGGATTCCTTTCTCTAGTGCCTTAAGGATGCTGCCCTTAGGGCTCTTATGTCCTTCAGACGCCTGAAGAATATGTGAGGGGGTGCTCAGACTGACAGTTCAGTATAGGACTGTGTCTGAGAGTAGAAGGGAATGGTCTCTCTATGTGATACCCCTGCCTGATGTTCTGGCATGTTGATCTCCCCAGCCCATATCTTGGCACTATCTCTTGGATTAAATGCTTTCTGCAAAATGCCACATCTCTGCAAATTCTAGAACAATTTCCTCTCTGCAAACATTGCAGAGAATGGGTCCCTGTCCTAGGAGTGGTGTGATATGGCAAAGCTGTGGCACAAAACAGAGGACCTAGGATCAGAGATGGGCTGCCAGAGAAAAGACACATTGATATATTTCTTCTCTTTATCAGCCAGCCAGATATTCTCATGTTATTTCTGATAGATTTACTTTCTACAGGAAAGAGATTGTTCAGGATGATTTGGGGAGCCCCTGATCTTTTGAGGTCATTTAACACTGCAAATGTAGATAATCATGCTGTCACTGAATATTGTCTCTTTCACTTATTTATACCTGTTTTGGGTTTTTTTTTTGTATTATTGTTGCTGTGGCTATGTATTCCAATCTACTAGTTAGGGTAAAAGGTTATTCTTTTCATCACCTGAAACACATTCTGCAATAGTGAGAAGAAAACTAAAATATTTTTTCAAGGTGCCTCAGGCTGAGAAGGGTGGAACAGTATGGAGTCTAAGGTAATTCAGATCAGGGGGCTGATCCTAACCCTCTCACTGCTGGCCCTGTAAACTTTAGCAAATTACCAAACTAAGTGAGCCTCATACTCTTTACTGTAAAGTGGGTTTGATAAGCTCCATCTCGTAGGACTGGTGGAATATATATAATGTATGCAAATGTGCCTGTCTCGTATTGAGACATCAGGAAGTGGCAATTATTACTATGATGGCTTTTTAATTTTTATTTTTGTACTTTAGGTTCTGGGGTACATGTGCAGATCATGTAGGATTGTTGCATAGGTACACACATGGCAATGTGGTTTGCTGCCTCCATCCCCCTGTCACTGCTATCTGGCATTTCTCCCCATGTAATCCCTCCCCAACCTCCCTACCCCCCGCTGTCCCTTCTTTAGGCTCCCCACAACAGACCCCAGTGTGTGATGCTCCCCTCCCTGTGTCCATGTGTTCTCATTGTTCAACATCCACCTATGAGTGAGAACATGCGGTGTTTGATTTTCTGTTTTTGTGTCAGTTTGCTGAGAATGATGGGTTTCCAGATTCATCCATGTCCCTACAAAGGACACAAACTCATCATTTTTTATGGCTGCATCATATTCCACCATGATGGTTTTGATCAGAGACATTACCAACAGATTTTTTTTTTTAATCCAGGATATCTCAGAGAATATGCAACAATCTGAGACTGAAAAATCACATTCAGCCAAAATGCTGCTTAGCAATGAAAACTATTCCTTTCATTACCTCTTTATCTTGTCTTTTATTTTTTATGAAGTATCTCAGCTTCTTCCATGAAGACAGCTTCTCCTAGAATCTACAATTGCATGGGCACAAGCTGCATCTTCTTTGACTAAACATTCCCAGTACAAGCCTGAAGACCCCTAAGGAGCAGATGCTCAATTAGAGTTTGGGTAAAGTAAAAGCCATAAACAAGAGAATTAATTAATTATGATTTAATTTCTCACACATTCTTGAATGACATAAACAAATCCAGGTATGTAACTTTTAAAACATATGTATCTTTATGTAAAGAAGGATTAGATGAAGTAAAGTAAACCAGGAATTGACCATCTTTACCCCTCTGGCTTCTGATCCCAACTATTTCACTATGGGGTCTTTCACATTTTCAAAGATATTTCTATTCCAATGCCACATTTTCTTATCCTGGATTATAAAAGTGATTTAAGGATTTCTATTAATAATTTGTTTCACTCAAAAAACAAAACACTTTCTACTATCCCTGAAAAACAGCAACAACAAGGTGATCCATATCATTTGTATATTTATATTCTGAATCTAAATAAACCTGTTGAAAGAAACACTAGAGGAAAAAGATTTTTAAAAAGTCAACAAGTTATTCATGCATAACAAGAACAAAGATTAACAGGCCTTTTCAATTACAAAGTAAACAATCTGCCTAAGACCACATTGGGGGTGAGAACAGCAGGTAAACTTGGCTCTGGGAGAATGGCCTTGGCAGTAGTGTAAGGCCTGGCTACAACTCTGGCTCAGACTCCAGCTTTCTCTTCATCTCTCAAAGCCTCTGCATAATGGACTGGGAAGGCACTGGGGGTGGTATCATTCACCTTGGCCAAAAACTCGAGGACTTTCATCTTGGTGGTTTCAGCATAGGCTCTTGGACCCCACAGGAATTGATAGCGTGGGGGATCACTGTTGGGCACCTGCTTGTACTCCAGATATCCTTCCTGCACCAGATCTTGGGTGATGAGCTTCCGGGGTTCCCCATAGATTAGGTGCTCCTCTCCATCATAGACTCCCAACATATTCAGGAATTCCCAGATCTCTTCCTCAGTGGCAGAGTTGCCGGTTAAGAAGATCACACCCAGGAGAGGCATCAGAAGCCCGCTCCTGGGAAAGCCCCAGTTACGGAGCTGACATTCTTCATTAGTGGGGTCTTCCTTGCTGTCAAAGGTGTAAGTGTGGCCTCTGGGGTTGACTTTCTTCATCTCAAGGCCAAAGACAACATTCAGGCGCTCGGAGGCTTTCTCGAGGATCTCAGGGAAGTGCTCCCTGAACCTTTTGCCGACAATCTTGAGCATTTCTCCCTTTGTAACAGACTCTTTCATTTTAGACTTGTACAACAGAAAATGCACTAACAGCCCTGCCTTCTTGGTTAGAGGATCTTCCCTTGAGCTCTCAGTGGATGTTGAGGCCTGGGAGGAACTTGCTTTTTCCCTTCTTTGGCTCTTGGCACCTTTTTTAGATTTTGTGGGTAAAACACCTACAGCAGCAGCAGCAGCAGCAGCAGTGGGGGGTGCTCTCTGAGGCTTCTGGGGAATGCCAGCAGCAGGGGAGCTTGAAGCAGCACCCTCAGAAAGAGAAGAGGAACAGCAAGGGGCCTCTTCTTCCTCTGCTTCAGTGACCTGAAGAACACTGAGACCTTGGGTCTCGTCTCGGGCCTTGCGGCGTTTCTCACGGGCACGGAGCTTACTTTTCTGACCACGAGGCATGATGGCTGGGTACACCAAGAAATGTGGGCAGGAAAATAGGTGGTTAGTATACCTGGTAATTGGGGAATGAGATCTGTGAGCACCTTCAGCAGGAAGGCACCACTTTGGCTTTATTGAAGGAAGCCTGCCTTTGGAATTTTCCCTGAAGGTACTGTTCCAGAAAGCCACAGGGCTCCTGTTGTCCTGCTCAGCCTCTCCCCTAAGAGACCAGAGAATAAGTATAGAACCTCTATAGTGAGTTTTAGGCTGCATTCTATCAGCCCCCTGCCTTGGGCTTACTATCGTGACAGGAGGTACTGGCAGTGGGACTTCCTGTCCTCTGGTGTTTTGGGTTTTATCAGTTCACTGTTAGGATTATCATATTAACTCTGGGCAGGGCCTCAGCCACTCCCTTCCGCTATTCTAAATTTGATAACTCAAAGCTCCCTGGGACCCATGAGAAGGAGCTGAAGGGGTGCCTCAATCCACTACCCTTACAAGTGACACTCAGTGATGAGAGTTCAGTGGGGTCTTCGATGTCTTGGAGTCATTAGAGTCTTCAGCTCTCATTCAAGGTCCCCACCTTGGCTTCACGTAGGGCTTGGCACCAACCCCCTTCTGCTGACTGGTGGCTACACCTTCAGACTAAGAATCTCACCTCTCCTAGATCTTACATAAGAAAGGGAGGTAGGCCAGGCATGGTGGCTCACACTTGTAATCCCAGCACTTTGGGAGGCCGAGGCAGGCAGATGATCAGGGTCAGGAGTTCGAGATCAGCCTGGCCAACTTAGTGAAACTCTATCTCTACTAAAAATACAAAAATTAGCCAGGTGTGGTGGTGGGTGCCTGTAGTCCCAGCTACTTAAGGAGGCTGAGGCAAGAAAATCACTTGAACCTATGAGTCGGAGGTTGCAGTTAGCTGAGATCACGCCACTGCACTCCAGCAGTCTGGGTGACAGAATGACACTCCGTCTCAAAAAAAAAAAAAAAAAAGAAGGATGAGGATGCTAAACCTCATAACCCTTTCCTGAGCTTTCTAGGGCTGAAAATAAAAGGGTTGAACTGGATTCTTTGATATCTCCACTGTTAAGGGTTCGATGGTCCCTTGAATTCTCACTCAGATTCCTCAACTTGACCCCTGGTAGGGGAACTCTCCTTTTTATTGAACTGAGGCCTATGTCCTCACAGTAAGAGCCAACCTACCTGAGAACCCATAGGAGGAAGTGAGGGTGGCCTTATCTGGCCAAATGTGGTCTTTTCAAAAGTAAAAGCTGTGGCAGGCAGATAACTGCCCTGTAATACATGTTCCTTCATACAGTCCCAATTCAGCCTCTAAATGTGACTCATGAGAGGGTCTAAGATTATTCCCTGATATGGCTTGGATCTGTGTATCCTCACCAAATCTCATGCTGAATTGTAATCCTCAGTGTTGGAGGTGGGACCTGGTGGGAGGTGACTAGATCGTGAGGGCAGGTTTCTCACGAATGGTTTAGCACCATTCATCTTAATGGTGAGTTATCATGAGATCTGGTCATTTAAAAGTGTGTAGCATTTCCCCCTGTCTCTTGATCCTGCTCTGGCCATGTGACATGCCTGCTTCCCTTCACCTTCTGCCGTGATTGTAAATTTCCTGAGCTCTGCTCCCAGAAGCTGAGCAGATGCCAGCATCATGTTTCCTGTATAGCCTTCAGGACTGTGAGCCAATTAAACCTTTTCCTTATCAATTACCCAGTCTTGGGTATTTATAGCAATGCCAGAATGAACTAATTAATACATTACTTTTGTTGACAAGTGACCACCACCCTCAGACCAAAACCCTCGTTTCCCTATTACCTTTGAGTGGGAACTGATGGGCACCTCTGCATGTCATTTCTGCCTGGGGTCTCTCAGAGCTGACAGTACTGAGGATTGTGTGGCTCCCACTAATATGGGGTGGGAGCTCCCTGCAGTCAGAGTTCTTACCATGACATCTGGCACAACCTGGAAATCCTCCCTCTGCTGACCTAAGACTGCCCTCTTTAACGGGGTCCCTCACTTCTCTGAGATGTCCTGGGAAGAGTGAGTGCAACTCAACATGCCAACATGCTTAGGTCTCCCTAGTCTGACAACAAGGGTAGTGCTCTATGTGGCCCTTCTTTCTGGTTGGAGTCCCCTCCTCATCACTCAGTGTCACATCCTTGATTCCTGGTAGGGACTGGGTCTCTCTGTTGAATTAGACCTACCCCATTACACCAAGGCCCTCACCTTCCTGAGACCACCTCCAGAGGGAATGAGAGGGCATCTCAGGATGCCAGCTTTGCCCTGATGCTCCTATTGCTGACAGCAGATGTGGGTCTTGGGTGCAGCCCTCAACTTCTTTAGTCCCTGGAGGGGAAGTCAGGTTGCTCCGCATTTGTTACCTTGGCCTGGGACCATCTAAAGCCCAATTTCACCTCGGCCTGGGAACTGCTCAGCATGATTCCTCTTTTGGGTGGAGATTGACTCATTAATACTCAGAGTCCTCACCTTAACCCCTGTTAGATTTTAGGTTTATGCCATATGAGCATAAGCAGGGCTGCTCCCTAAGTTCAAGGCCCTCCCCTCCCTGAGACTTTCTAGGCACAGCTTTTCTGGGGCCTCCCAGAGCCATCTGCAAGAACGAGACTTAGTGAGGCCTTCTTTATTAAGAGTAGGAGATGTTCTCTTCAATCCACATTTAAGCCCCTCAAATTGACTTCAGTTAGGGCCTACACCTACCCTATCTGCAGAATCAGGCCTATTCCCTAAGTCCAAGCCTCCTTTCCCGGCGACAGCACCACCAACGCCCAACTTTTCAGGTGGAACTCTGCCGGACGGCTTTACCGGAGCCTCCCAGGACCAAATGCAGAAGCGGAACTTGATGGGGCCCTGTTTTTTACGGGTAGGGGTGGTGTCTTCAATTTCTACCCAGGGTCCTCGCCCTGACTCCCGACCAGACCTGAGAATTCACCCTCGGTAGACCGGAAGCTGCACCCCTTATACTCGCTCAGGTCCTCGCCTTCAAAGCGGAAGTAAGGATGAGCCATATCTGGCAGGCCAGGGCCTCTGGGGTCTGACACAAGGGACAGGATGCTACAGAAGGGACGTCACTGTTCTAGCTTCGCTGGTCCCTATGTCCCCACTAGAGTCCTCACCTCAGTATCTAGCAGCCTGGGACGACTCCTCCTGCTGACTCAAATCCGCCAGCCAGACACTGCAGCCGTTATGCTCGCTCGGCTCCTCCCTTCAAAGCGGAAGTCAGGGTGAGCCACATCCGCTCGCGTGCCCCCTTCAAAGCGGAAGTCAGGATGAGCCACATCCGCTCTGGTCCCCCCTTCAAAGCAGAAGTCAGGATGAGCCACATCCGGGAGCCCGGAACTTCTGAGGGGTGATGGCAGGGGCAGGACGCTGCGGTACATCACTGTTCTAACATCACCGGTCCCTACCGCCCCACTAGGGGTACTCACCTTAGTATCTAGCAGCCTGGGACCACTCCCGCCTGCTGACCCAAATCCGCCAGCCTCCAAACAATACCCCCATCTCCCTCAGGCCCATGGTGGAAATCTGAGTGTGCCACACAGGCCACCCCTGCCTGGGCCTCATAGGCCTGGCAGCAGCGGAGGGGCTCTGTGAATGTGCCTCTTTTGGGGAGAGGTCTTCTCATCCACAGTCAGAATTCTCACTATGATTACTGTGAACGCCAAGACTGTCTGCACAACTGGGGTCACCCTCTAAAGACAAGTGCCCTTCCTTCCCCGAGACTATGCAGGTGGAATGAGGAGGACTCAGAGATATTTATTCTGGGACCTCTCAGCGGTGCTAAGAATGGCGAGGGGCTCTATTTGCCCCCTTCTGCTGGTGTTGTGGTGGGGGGGTCCCCTTATAACTCTTAGGATCCTCACCTTGACTCCTGTTAGGGCCTGGGTTTTGTCTCTAGTCCAAGGTCTTCACCTCTGTGAAACACACCAGGCATATTGATGGGATTTCTCCACCTCATAATTCTCTTCTGGGCATCCCAAGAGTGCCAGCATTGGGGGAATTTGTAGGCTCCTCTGTTCTGGGGTGGTGGTTTTCAAACTGCCCCTATGAACTGTATAAAATTAATCAGGGAAGAAGGAAGGGAGATAAATGAAGATAAACCAAGCTTGCAGAACATTCAGCATTAATCATGAAGTCAGCTTGCTCTCTAACCTGCTTCCTCATAGTTGTTTGGTGCCTGTTATCCCAGAATCATGTAGATCTTTTTACTAGATTATAGTTCCCCTTAATTGTTCTATAGATAACAATTTGAAAATAATGAAACTTTTTTTGTTGTTGAGATATTCCTTTAGGTCCCGCATACTGATGAATCTAATGACTCAGCTGTTTTGAAGGACCCCACTGATTCCAGCTGCTCTAAAGGACCTTACTGACATTAGCTGGTCCAAAGGACCCCATAAGGAGCTGACTCACTAAAAAAAATGCAGTTTCCACATTGCGATGATTTCACCCCCTTTACCCCAACAAATCAACAACTGAAATTCCCCAGCCCCTCACCCTCCATGATCTCCTTGCAAGTCCCAGCCCAGAACTCCCTGGGGAGATTAATTTCAGAGTCTCTGCTCATCTCACTTGGCAACCAGCGATCATTAAACTCTTTCTCTGCTGAAAACTCTGCTGCTTTATTATAGTGGGTCTCTTAATGTGCAGCTGGCACACAAGCCTGTTGGTCCTATAACAGTTCTCTTATTCCTTTTCAGGGTCCTCACTATGACACCTGACCAGTCTTGGGGCACTCCATTCTCTACTGATCTGAGACTGCTCCCGTCAGATCAAGGTACTCACCTTCTGGGGACCTCTGAACTGGAAGTTGTGGTGAGCTACTTTAGCTAGTGCTGTTTTGGACCTTGAAGGGCTGACAGCCTGAGCTGGACTTTGTGGGACCCCATGGTACTGGCTGGGTCCTTCCATCATCTTGATTCAGGGTCCTCACATTCATATCTATCAGAGGCTGAATTCCATCTTCTGACATAAAGTTGACCTTCTTAGGCCATGTCCATGAGAGGTCTGAAGATTAAATGAGGGGATGCTCAGCCTCACAGTTCTGTCTGGAGCTTTCTAGGTCTGAGAGCAGATGTGAGCCATTGTATGCATAACCTCATATATTCTGGGGTATTGGTTTCCCATGTCCTCTGAACTTGGGATCATCTTGGATTAAAGGCTTTCTGGGAAATGCCACATCCCTGCAAACATGACCAGTTTTTCTACTACAAACCTTGCAGAGAAGGAGCTGTGTTCCAGGAGTTATGTGAGATGGGGAATCTGAAGCACAAGGCAGAAGCCCCAGGACAGGTAGTGCTCTGTCAGAGAAAAAAACATACTGATATTTTCCATCTTACCAGACTTAGATTCTCATGTAAATTCTCTTCTGACAGATTTATTTTCTACAGGGAAGGGACTGTCCAGGATGATTTTAGGAGCTTCTGATCTTTTGAGATTACTTGATATCGCATGTGTTGATGAACATATTGACACCAGCTACTATTTTTCTTTTCTTTACTTATGCCTCTCATTTATTTTGACATTCGTATTGGTCTGGGCATGTATTTGACCCAGTAGTATGGGCACAAACTCCTTCTTTTTATTGCCTGAGATACATTTTTCAAATAAAGAGAAAAAAAATGAATGAAACAACACAAGGCTAGCCTCAGAGTGGGAAGAAAGGAACAGTGTGGGATCTAGATTAATCCAGAGTGGGAAGAAACGAACAGTGTGGGATCTAGATTAATCCAGACTGGGAGTCTGGTTTCTGCCCTGCCACTTACCAGCTATGTGAACTCAGGCACATTACTAAACTCTGTGAGCCTCAGGCTCCGTATCTGTGAAATAGGTTTGATAAACCCTTCCTTGTGGAATTAGTGAAATGTGGTTTATGTATGTAAAGCACCTGGTACAGTACTTGGCCAGTATTGAGATTTCAGCATGGCAGTTTTTACCTATGATTAACTTGAACTTTGATGATACCACCCACCCCACTGGGATTGCTTTTTCTTAATCCAACAGATGTCAGATAATATGCAGCATTCTTGAACAAAGAAAACCCAAGGAGCCAAAATGCAGATTAGCAAGAAAAATTAAATAATATTTCCCCCTTAAATGATGAATTCTTGAATGTGAGGTAGACTTCTCCAGTTAGGTGCAACACAATGCTCCTAACATTTGTGTCAAGGACTAACAACTTTCTTCCCTCCCAGTGTCACTTCCATCTAAATCACCTTTATTTTCATTAATTTAACAAGCACTAAAAACCTGGAACTTGCTGGAGTTTGCCAGATTATGTACATGATAGCCTAATTTGAATGCTCCTTTTAATGGAATAAACTCCAACTCTCCCAGCTCAGTACAGAGTACTCAGCGGCTTCTTATCAGTTCATCTTAAGAGAGTATCACCCGTGTTTCTCAGAAGCTCACTGGATATAATGTATATAAAGCAGCTAGTTTCTGCACTGCATTCATCTGCACTGAGATAAGAGCACAGGACACTTTCCAATGCTGCCCCTAGTGGAGCTTCTCTCCAGTTTTCTCCAAATACCAAAGTTAAGAACACTTTCCCATTACAGTCTCTCAACTCTGAAGCTCACCATTGGAGGGTCTTGTCCTGCTCTCCACTCCCACAGCCTCCTCCAACCCAGCATGCAGCCTCACTTAAAATTACCTCCCAGTGAGAGACCTGCAGCTTCCCAAGGCCCTAACTTTCTTTTTCTCAGAGCATTTACACTTCACACACTCATCTGGAACCCTTTCCTCTTTTTTACCTGCGTATCTCTTTTTTAACCTTGTCCTTTGGGTCTGAGAGATACTTTCACCATGTATTTGTATGATAGCCGCCACTAACGACTAAACTTCTCTGGACAATGGGTAAAACTTTCTTTCTTATTTCTTATCACCTCCAGTACTAATACAGAGGCTTCCGAAGAGCAGAGAATTGATTAATATTTAGGGAATAAAAGAGCCAATGAACAAGGGGACTAAATGAGTGCTATTTTACTTGTCTTACATTTTTGAAAAAGCCAAACAAATCTAGCTATATATCTTTTAATTTTATAAAAAGAAAGACTAAAAGGAATAAGGCAAATCAAGAATTGAACACATCTTACCTTTTTATTTTTTTCTCTATTTCATGATTTTAACTATTTGAATGTGGAGTTATTTCACATTTCCAAGAAAATATCTTTTCTGATGCTGTGTTATTTTGTGTGGATCACAGGGGGAAAAGAATCAAGGATTTTCACTTTTTGTTTTGTTATTAAAAACTCTCTTTTTTTAATTTTACTTTAAATTCTTGGATACATGTACAGAACGTGCAGGTTTGTTACAGAGGTATACATGTGCTATGGTGGCTTGCTGCACCTATCAACCCGTCATCTAGGTTTTAAGCCCTGCATGCATTAGATATTTGTCCTAATGCTCTCCCTCCCCTTGCCCCCTACCCCCAACAGTCCCCGGTGTGTGATGTTCCTCTCCCTGTGTCCATGTGTTCTCATTGTTCAACTCCCACTTGTGAGTGAGAACATGCGGTGCCAAAACTCTCATTCTTGAAACTGATAAACAACAATAAATGTGTGGCCTGTGCTATTCAAAATTTTAGATTCATGTACTAGATACATCATCTATTATAAAGAACAACATTTGAAGAATACCAATATATGAACAAATCTACAAGTTACCCATAAGAGCAAGAAGACAAAGAAGATATTCATTCTGTACCCTGTTTCCTTATCCTATCCCTCTACTACTGAGAACACCCATTTCTCACTTCAAACACAAAGTGAAAAATTTGCTTCAGTCTTTACGAGGCATGGGAGAAGCTACTGAACATAGCCCTGGAATGTTCCTTGGCTGTGGCAGTAGTGCCAGCCCTGGCTTCAATTCTGGCTTGAGCTTTGTCTTCTTCTCTCAAAGCATCGTCATACATGGATGGCAAGGCACTGGGATGATATTCTAAATCAATGAAAATGACTGAGGCACGTCGCAATAATTTAAGGAGGTTTA